ATATAGAAGATTCAAAACACTTTATGAACATCTATTTCCTGAAAATGGAAAAACATCCAGTACTGGATTTTTATTTTCTTTTTTGTAATTTCAGGGCGGGGGTGGGTATTAATTCTTATGCTTTTTCTTGCAGCTATTTGTTTAAGGGACTAGTAGGAACTACTAGTTTAAAGGACTAGCAAGAAACAAATAACTACTAGTTTGTGACTGTGTATGTTAGTCACTAAAATTACTTTTATTTAACAAGTTACTTACCTTACTCATGACTGACATTTTTACCTGTCATAAAGTGTATATGTCCTAGAACTTTGATAACTGACAAGCGATTATTTCAACATTGCTACTGTGAATGAGCCTATATATCCTGCCCTTAATGGAGCACTTATATTTTTTGTCATGTTCATTATGTTCATTAGTAGCTCCTTGCATACTGAATCTTTGGATTCAATTTCTGCTGCTTTATTCTCCATTAATACTAATCTGCTGAATGACTTCTAGAAGTATAAGGTAATTCAAATGATACAGATAACTAGTTAAGAACAGTATTGTTATGTAGTTTGAGGAGCTCATAACACTGGAACATTGACTTATCTGTATTAGACCTCTACTTTCATGTTTTTCTGTGTTATGAGCACATCAGGTAATATGCAGTGCAAGACTAATAGTAATAATCAGTGATGTTTGTCTGTAGATGAACCATAGTACATGAAGTAGCTTCCATTAACCATTCAGAACTCCAGTAAAAACCTCTGTATGTGTTTTATATATATAGGTACATACAGAGGAAAATGTAATCTTTCTCATTATATATGCTTATAAAACCTATTTTATTGCTTTTTTAAGGGAATAGATATTTAAGAACAGTAAAAGAATATTTAACACTTAGATATATATCACTTTTCATCTTCAGAACATTTTACAAATATTAAATCATGGATCAACTCCATGTAAAGTTTATTATTATTATTGACATTTGTATTACCTAGGAATCTTAGGGTGGTGTTACAGGCTACCTTTAAACCATCAGAAAGGCACTTATAGATGAGAGCGTTCACCCATTAAAGGTGTTAATCCATGCTAAGTATCCTCTAAATGTTTTAAAGTTACGCCAGCTCAGGTAAGGGTTCTCTTTGATCCATTTTATCCAGGTCTTTCCAGGGTATTGTTAGTTGGCTTCATGGAGACAAAACACACTATTTTCATTCCTCCAGCATCCCAGGATGCACCATTCCCTAGCCTTCCCACTCCTTTGCTCTGTCTGTGAACTGGCAACCCTCCTGAGCTCTACTGCCCAAAGGGTGCTGCTCGTGCCAAGCCAACACTCCCTCCCTCAGGAGTTGCAACCCAGCATACCCTGTCCACTCTGAGCACTTAGGTGCAACTCACCTGTTTGCTGCTTGCTGTAGCATCCCCATGCAAACAACAACAATCCTACTACCTACCTCCATGAAGAGAATTAGCCTGAGAATGGAAACCACTAGGTGTAGGTGGGTCTCAGCTCTGTCCCAGTGTAGCATGCATACAGCAAGCCTGCTGGGTCTCAGCTCTGACCTGGTGTGAGTGCTAACCCAGCTCCCCCAACCCCCCTTCCAAAAACCAATCCCAATTCAGTGAAACACATGCAAGATGTGGGTCCTTTTTATTATTCTTTTATTCACTCCTTATTTTTCTTTACTTCTGCTGGTTCACTTCAAACAGTTCTTTTTTTCAAGATTTTTCCCCTCCTACCCATGACTCTGGGTGGATCCTGCTGGCTGCAGAATGAGGGAAGCCCCAGACCTGATGGTAGATTCTCCACCTCTGAGCTACGTGCCACCCTACTTCCTCCTTTCCCACCCCACTGGAAGGATGGAGTCCTCACTTCTACCTACACCCCTGCTCTCCAGGCCCTCTAGTAGGAAGTCACAGTTGTGCAGGTCTGCAATGGCATTAAACCTTAAACCTGTGACTGCTCTGAAACCGTTCTAACTTTATGACAGTCTAACATTCCCCCGATGTAGAATGGTTTAAAGGTAACCTGTAACAGCACCCTTAATCAGGAAGACCCCATTGTTTTAGGTTGTTCTTGCTCCAAATTTTTGAGACCTCATTTCCTTGGTATCATAGTTAAGCTTCTATATTCAGCTGTGATCTTAATATGTGAAATGATATAGATGAGCAATGGGAAAAACAAGAGTAATAAATTAATATTCTTTATTAAGTAATATTAATATTTAATATTAGATATTAGTTAAATAGTATAGTGAGTGGAATATACACTGTGTTGGGTTAATGAGGAAAGATTTGATAGACTGAATTTATGCAGTTGGACATGTAATAAGTCCCAAAAGACATAGTTAACCTCAGCAAGTCAAGTGTATAAAGAACCACAAAATGCATCTGTTGCATTGGAACATGGAACTAAAAGGGCCTCCCGGGCCATTAAGTCCAGTCCCCAGTTCTTTCCTGCTCTCCAGTATCACTGATCCTGCCAAGTGTTCTTGTACAAATGAAGGAACAAAAGGCAGAAAACCACTTGTGATGCCTTATTGCCATCCCTAAACAATCGAACATTATCAGACTCAGAAGAATCAACCAACTAGCTTTAGAACATTGAACTCTTTGTAAGTACTGGTGCGATTATTTCTAATCAAAAATCACCCGTTTGAACATACACACGGATACATGACATGCCGACTCCTTTCTCCTACCTGCTCAGAGGGGTTCTCATTTACCTCCTCTGACCTGTATGAAAGGAAAAGAAAGGGCTACTCTTTTCTCCTAATTTCCTTCCTATATTACTACCCTTTCCTCTCTGTCTCCAGCCCAAACTCCTCCTGTTTGCCCAATCAGTGCCTTGGTCTGGCCTGTCCAACATCATAGTCCAACTTTTTCCCTCAGGCTTCTATGTCCCTGATTATTTTAATGCAGTTTAAAAGACTCCATTTCACTTTTGGGGCTAGGTATGTATAAGCGTGGATAAATTGGAACAAGTACAAAGAAGGGCTAGTAGACTGGAATGAACTCTTGTGAGTTGAAATTAAAGAATTTGGGTTGTTTAACAAAACAGAGGTGGAGAGGAGATGTGATTACTTTTTATAAATGCAAGATTAATATCAAGGAGTAAGAAGAGCTGTTTAAGTCAAAGAACAATAGCAGCACCAGAGTAGATTGCAACACACTGGCCATAAATAAACTGAGACTGGAAATTAAAAGATCATTAGAAGTTCTGGAACCTCTATTGCCCCCAAACAAAGCGGTGGGAACAAAATGAATTGCTGAGAGTTTAAGGATAAGATAATATGATGAGAAGGGTGTGCTTAGATCAATAATTAGTGCCTGTGATCCATGAATTCATCATCTCTAGGTTATTTATTTTGATTTAGATGCTGCCCTTCCCAACAAAAGCTCAGAATAAAATGTAATTCTTTCACCCTATGAGATGTGTCTGGAAATGCTACGCTTTAAGGCAGGGATTCATTGGCATCATACAGGCAGGGATTGATTGGCACCACACAGAGCCACTGAATCTGGCCGGTGGAGCTGGAAAGCCCCTGTGCTCCCTGGTGGTGTGCAGGCTCCACTTCCAGATGGTGGGGAGCTGCCAACTGCATCCACACTCCTGCTGCTTCTCTCCACTACTGCCTGCCACCCTCCTTCCCCACCCCCCCAGCTGCAGTGCAGGCACCACTGGAAGCTGCCCAGCTCCAGGGGAGCTCCCCATGGGCTGGCAGCTGTGTCTCCTGCAGCCTGGAGGAGGAGGGAATGAGGATCTGCTATGTTGGAGCCAGGCAGGAGGAGCTGTCAGGGATGTGCAGCTTCCACCTGTGCCTGTGCCAGTCACTTTTCCCTGCCCCCGCTCTCATCAGCCCCAGCGGAGCCCTGCACCAGCTAGAAACTGAGCCCACACTATCAAAGAGCCAGGGCAAAGACTGGGATAAGCAGCCATAGTTACTGAATTGCTATCAAAGCTACCCAACTAGTGTAAGACCAGAGCTGGGCTGTTCTGACCTGTGTCTTCTGGAAAATTTCTAACCACTCCTTTAGGGGTCCTGCTTGTTGACTCTTGGGGTCAGGAAGGAATTATTTTCTCTTACGACTGCTCGATTGGGTCCTATTTTGGAGGTGATTTATTGTCTTCTCTAAAACATTAGACATTGGCCACGGGTAGAGATGGGAATTTTGGCTGTGCGCGCTAATGCTCTTAGCATTTTAAAATCTCTCAGCATGTGCAGACATTCAGGTACCTGGCTGGAAGGTCTTGCTTCTCTGTTCAGGTCATAGCAGTCACCAGACTTGAGGGCAGGAATGAATTTTTCTCCCAGGAGAGATTAATAAGGACTTGGGAAATAGGGGGTGGGAGGAATAGGAAGGGCAGTTGCCTTTCTCTATGGCAGGGGTCACATTGTTTGTGAGCGGAAGGGCAGTTGCCTTTCTCTATGGCAGGGGGCACATTGTTTGAGAGACAAAAGCACCCGCAACCTTGACTTTTAAGATGTTGATGTGCTGGGGGTGGATGGCAGGGGAGCCGCAAGGGGTCTGCTGTGGCAATGCAGACCTGGCCCCCTTCCCTGCCATCCACTCTGAGGTGTGCATACCAAGTAAAATGCCTTCACGTGCCACACTCTGGCACCCATGCCGGGGGTTGCCTACCCCTGCTCCATGGCATGGGGCATGGTCCTCTTTCAAAATTTAGCATATATTAACTTAGTCTTATCTCTGCAGTGGCATGTTGTTTTCATGAGGTGTTTTGTGGCTATAATATGTGAAAGGGATTGGTGTGGATGATCTTTAGGATTTGGGATAAATGATTGGCTGTGAATAAAAGGAACTGAGTTTGATGGTTGGGAGCCCACTTCCGTTTTATTTCTCCATGTGTTTCTAAAACATTCTGACTGTGATTAAGTATTCTAAGTTTGCTTTTCTAAATTCAACCTCTATGCACATGACAGTGAACTTACCTGCTATTTTTATGTGAAAATGTTTGCTTTCAATTTAATCTTCCTATTTCCTGTCTACAGATCCCATGTTTTATGTAGTAAATGCATCAATGGCTTTGGATTTAGCATTTGGAATAATCTGTGAGCTGCTTCAGCTGTGGAATGAAACCAGGGCTGGCATACCAGTCTTATTGGAGTGGCTACTAGGAGAGGATGACCTAAACAAAAATTCGGAGGCTGCAACACTGGTAATTCTTACAACTAGTTAATTTTTTTGGAGCAGAAATTCTTTTATGTCTGTTGTACAAGAGGGGAAATAAAGTTAGTTTTCTAATCTGATGACGTCACTTCTGTGTGATCATTACTTTAAGAATCAGAGAGATTTACATTTTAAAATAAAGCACTCGCATTTTCTTTTAAACATTCACAGTCTCTTTAGGAAAGTAAATTGGGTGTGAAGCTGCAGTCCTCCTACATAAGTAGTCTCACTGATGTCAGCACTAACATTCAGGGATGATTGTAATGTATCAGTTGACACCCAACATTTCAAAGATATCGGGCTTGATTACCTACTCCTCAGATTGTTGTAAAGGGCCTCAGCACCTCCCGAGATCAAGCGCAGTGCTCCTGCTGCTGTCAGTTGGCTTCAGTTTCAGCTGAGCTTTCAAATGTGATGGTTAAACATGTGGTGGTACATAGGCTGAGGGACCAGCACAGCAAACTCAAATCATTCTCACTCATAAGCCATTGATTTCACTAGAACTATTTGCATGAAAAAGGAATGGGCCTGCAAAATGTCAATACTGTATAACAATTGTGTGTTAATATGAGGCCAGCAAACACCAATGAAATATGACGCAGTAAAGTAGAAGGGGCAGCAGCAGCTTCAATTTTGAAATATTGGCTGACAACTGATATGATAAAATGACTCTTAAAATATGCTATGGAACTTAAACTTGCAGTTTAGGTATGTATTTTACCTATGTTCTATTACTGTTTAATTGACTGATACAATTTTTTCTCTCCGTTATATTTAATCTGCTCCAAAAGCTCCAGAATGTGCAATCATGCTCTTATAGAGGTCCCTAGCCATATACAGATGCTCAGTCTCTGCTGGGAGAATCACTGTTCAAGTTTCTTCCAGGAGACCGAACATCTGCACACTTTCCCCAGCTTAACTCCTCCTGGGGACCAGAAGTGGAGCCAGGGAAAGGCTCCCATTTCAGAGACTGGGGTCACCCCACTCTGGAGAAGGTGCAGGAGATAGCTGCTTCTGCCCCTCCTGTAGACTGGTCTGCAGGAAGGGCAGAAGCTTGCTTCTCACACCAGAGTCCCTGGTGATAGAAGCAGGCAGGGGGGTTTGCAGACTGAACATCTACAGCAGTGGTCACCAATCAACTGGTTGATCAGGGAGCCTCGTGCAGTTGATCTCAGTCTGGGGGGGCTACTCCCCCAGACTGGGATTGAGTCAGAGGCTCTGTGATTGGGAGTGTCGGGACGCAGTCTGGAAGCAGCAGAATGTACAAGCGGCAGGACGCACGTGGCTGGGCTGAGCGGCACCCCTGCCGCCAGGTCTAGGCTGGGTGAGTGGGACGATCCCCCTCAGTGCCCTCTGCCACTAGGTAAATGAGGCCTTGGCCGGGCTGGGGCTTGTCCAGGCACGTGGGGGAGCTTCCGCCACTGCATGCATCCGGTGGAGCCCTGGGGAGCATGTGCCCCCCGATCTGTGCATGGGGTGAGGCAGCTGCTGCTGCATGCTAGGCTTTGCACCCTGAGCCCTGCTGCAGCTCAGAGAAGGTGCAGGAATTTTCAGGTGGCTGCAGCCCTGCCCCCCGCCCTGTGGCCCCGCTCCCAGCACCACCATGAAGAGCCTGGCCCACGGCGGCGGTGCTGGGAACGGAGCTAGGGGGTGGGGGGACTGTAGCTACCCAAAAATTCACTGTAGCCCCACCAAACTGCCTGCCCATGCTGCTGCCTGCCCCAAAGGCAGCACAGCCCAGCCTCTGCAGGGAACACCCTGACACAGCCTCCCCCTCCCCTGACAAGGGCATGGGGGCCATGTGCCTGGGATCTGCACAGGGTGGGGTGGCTGCCACTGCGGGCTGGGAGACTACACTGAGCTGCACTGCACTTGGGGCAGGCAGCGGCAGCATTGGGACAGGGGGGTGAGGCAGCTACAGCCCCTCCCCTATATAGCCCCACTCCCAGAGCCACTGCTGTGAGCCAGGCTCTTCCTGGGGGCCCAGCCCCCCAACCAGAGCCCAGCCCCAGTCTGCAGCTGCAGCCTGCTCCACCCTGCCTGCAGATCCAGGGGCACATGGACCCCATGCCTTCCCTCCTCCCTTCTCCCAAACAAGCCCCTTGTCACTCCATCCTGCCCTGCCCTGGCTGCAGGGCCTGCCTCTGCCCTACCCCCTACCTCACTGCTGTTGGGGGGCAAATCAAGGCCCCAGTGGTGAGAGAGGGAGTGGGGATAGGGCTTGGGTCCTGAACTGTCCTGCCCCCCACCACGGCCCTTCCCCCTCCCCTTCCCCCACAGATTTACCTGCTGGGGGAACATGCCCCTAATTTTTTCTCCCTCTACCTCAATCTGCCCCCTCCCTTCCCTCCCCACAGACTTACCTGCTGCGCAGGGAGTAGGTCTTGGGTTGCTTTTAAATTTCAGAAGTGATCTCCTGC